TTCCTCTCTTTCAATCAACTGTCTTCAATTTACATATCTTCAAATCATTCCTAAACTAAGCAGCTGCTTTCAGTTGATTCATGTAGGAATTTGATTATCTCATCCAAACAATGACATCTTGGATCATGCATTAATGGCATGCTTATGGAATGAAGCAGTTTTCTGTTTCAAAATGACTTTTTTTTCCTCTGTGTGTGGAAAAGAGTATAAATGGTACCTGTCTATAATCCTCAGAACTCAAAAACTAATGCAACAATCAACTTCTCATCTGGGTTAAAACTATGTTTAAAAAGAACAATAATTGGGGTGCCTGGGTAGCTTAGTCAGTTGAGTGTCCAACTCTTGATTTTGGTTCACGTCATGATTCCAGGGTCATGGGATTGAGCCCCATGTTGGGCTTCATGCTGCGTGTGGAGTCTGCTTAAGATTCTCTCTCTCTCTCTTCCCCCCTGTCCCTCTCCCCCACTTGTGCACACACTCTCTCTAAAATAAATTTTACAAAAAGAACAATGATCTATTGACAAACATACCTTAATAAACTGTTGTTGGAAATAAATCATAGCGTTTAAGTGTTGAAAATGGCATTTTAAATATATTCTAAAATTCATTTCCAAGAACTAAATTGCCCAGGTTTTATTTCAAAGTTCCTAAATTCTTTCATTTCAGACTTTAGAAAAATCTCCTCAAAATAATTATGGACATCTCACCTTTGAATACTGATATAAATCAAGATTCTTAAAATTTTCAAGAATGTCTTAAAAACATATTTTAATCAACAGTCCATTTAGAATTTCACTAATTATTCACAAATATGTGGAATTCCCTTGGGGTACAAAAACAGTTTTTAAAACTACTGAAAGACTTAAATTATTTATGAAGCCACTTTTGCCCACACAAAATCGAATGATTCAGTAACTATGAGTTATTGTTCAACTAAATGTTAAGGACAATTTATAAAATGAGAGAACTCAGACCAATGATCACATTTTATACTCTTAGAGACATGATTTTTAAAAACATTGTATCTATGAACATATAACTCCTACATCACTTCATTCATTCAATTTTAAATGTGGCAAATCCTATTATCCAGGGTAATTGGCAATACATTGTTCTTAATCAAATGTTCAGGTTAAATGGTTGGTTCAACGAAAATTTTATACAAAAATATAGCATATAACTAGATACATAATACATATATAACATATATATGCACAGTATATAACAACTTTCAAAGTTCAGTGCCCAGGTGAGCCACTAAAACTCACTTAACCACAAACAGTGGTTAAACATCATCACCATAGCATTCTAGAACTTAATTACATGTATGACGTTTCCAAGGAAAAAAGCATATATAAGTTTTGTCTGCAATGACTAAAACTTTGTTCATAGATAGAAGACCTTCCTTATTCCCTGTTACACTTGCTACCTCTGACCCAAAGCAGGCAATAAGGACTGCATTCCCATAGTTTTACCCAATGATGGTAGCCTCTGTGATCTGATGGTCCAGTTGAGGAGATGTAGAGGCTAAGGGTAAACTCCTGGAGGCTGAAGAGCTATGATGGAGTGACCAGAAGTCTTCCTAAAAATTCTAGGGAGGTTTGGGTGGGGGACACACACAGAACACTTAACTACCTAAAGATAAATTTGCAAGCTGATAAATTAAAGGGTGAAATTATTCACATAGCAAAAGAATTACAGTGGGTCCCAGGAACATTTGAAGAAATACATTTTCAAGTGTTTTTAATTAACAAAGGAAGACATTAAAAGCAAAAATTTTATAACATACTGCTGATTTGCAGATGTAGAAGTTCAAATATTTTTTTTTTAAGATGGTGAAAGTTCTTTATTTTTTCAAAATTTGTAAGAGAATATGTTTCAGGTGTTATTTTTCAGCTTTCTTTTCGTTTTAATTTTTTTCTTCCAAGATTTTATTTAAATTCAAGTTAGTTAACATATATTGTAACATATAGTGTTGGCTTCAGGATTAAAATTCAGTGATTCATCACTTACATTTAACACCCAGTGCTCCTCCCTAAGGTCCATCACTCATCTAGCCCATCTCCCATCCACCTCCCCGTCAGCAACCCACATATTCATTTTTTAAAATATAAAATTATTAACCACTGTTCACCACTATTTACAATAAACAATATATAGTTGGATAGCATTTTAGTCACGACAAAGTTATGTTTTTCCAGGCTTCCTTTGAACCAGTCACCCAAACACTGAAAAGATTGAGCCTTACATGTAAAGAATGAGTTGTGTGTAAAGAAAAACATGCAAATTGATAGTTTAGATTACCAAAGTCTGTTTATCCATTTACTCCAGCAGGTCCTAAATTGCCAACATCTCTAACCATCTGGTTAGGTTTCCATGAACAAAGTCTTACACATTAACCTTTTAGTCAATAGAGTACAGATTTTTCCAACTGCCTGTAAAGGAAAGCTTTGCTAGAGGAAACCTTTAGATGTCCATTTAACTAAGTCCTGCTTGGCTAATGAATACACACCAGGATTTGTCTAGTTTTCTCATCTAGGTGGGGAGATGGTTGATACTGATAAAAATTTTTCTGTTAGGAGTTTTGCAAATGGCATTAAATGACAATAGATATACATATGGATTCTGATATGGCTGTTTTGAAATTGTCCAATTGGAATTGTCTAAGTTGTTTACAATACATTTAAATTGTTCAATTAATGACAGAATCATCTATTTAATTTAAAATGTTAAATTAAAATATTAATTTAAGTTAATTCTAATTTAATTTAAATAATTTAATATAATGTAAATTTTAAATAATTTAATATTAAAATATTAATGTAAAATATAGTTTAAAATATTAAAATATTATTTTAATTAAATTAAAATATTTAATTTAAAATATTAAGTGGTTTATTTCTTGGGTTGCTTAGAATGATGGCCTTCCAGAAACACAGGTTTATCCGTGGTTGTGAAATGGTGTTTTTGTTTTTCTTTTGGTGAAAGTTAAAAAAAGAAAACCATTTATGTAGGTATTTTATGTGTATGCACACGAGAAAACAAACAAAAAAATCTCAGACTGGTCATTAGACATTTATGAGTTAACCAGAAATTCTGATTGAGTAATGACTATGGAGATCTTCCCCCAACTTTTAGAAAAGCTGTTCTCTAATGCAAAGGAAATAGTATACCATGATATCAAATGTTCTTTCCTGATAAAGGAAGCAACTAAGAAAGCCTTATTTATTTGTTCAAAGCTACCAGTGCTGTAGATAAAACCCCAACTTCCTCAATACTACTTCAAAACAAACATATCAAATTTGATTCTCATTAGAATGTGGTTATTTCTTCACACTAATAAATCAAAAACCAAGACACAGATTTTATATATATGTGTGCATATATATGTATATATATAATTCTATAATATAATTGCATATATAGTTGCAAACAATTATTGAGCTTCATTTTCTGTACAAGAATGCCAAATTAGTCTCCTTTCATAAAAAGGGATTGCAATCTGACAACACTTCATATTTTTGCCTCTTTTGCCAGTACCAAGTCTGCCCCATCTAAATCTTTCCATTTCTTGAGAAGTATTAATTCTCCACTACTGTCTGCAGCACCGATTATTCATGTGAGATCTAGACCTCTGGCAAAACCTCTTGGTTTGCCAGCAGTAGCTCTTTCCTTTGATTTGCTATCAGATTCACTGACAGATAAAGATTTCCTTTTTGTACCATCTTTTTCTTTACCAGCTCTTTGAGAATTAAGAAATATTTCTGTTAACTCCAGGCAACGTAATTTTTCTTCAGGTTGCCAATATTGTCAGCATGTGTATTACCTTCCACTGTCAGCATGTGTACTCCTCTGCTTTCCCAGTCACTATGCATCAGTCATGTGCTCTTTCCACCACAAATTCTTTAGGCTCTGCCTCTGACTTTTTTACCCTTTCCATTCAGGTTCTTTCCTTTGCAATGTAGTTTTGTCAGAGGCCATTTTTTTTTTAATGTTTATTTATTTTTGAGCGAGAGAGACAGAGTGCAAGTGGGGGAGGGGCAGAGAGAGAGGAAGACACAGAATCTGAAGCAGGCTCCAGGCTCTGAGCTGTCAGCACAGAGCCTGACGCAGGGCTCGAACCCACAAACAGTGAGATCATGACCTGATCCAAAGTCGGATGCTCACCCAGGCGCTCCTCTCAGAGAGCGTTTTTTATTACAAACCTGGAAAGCTATTATCCACCTTCTCCAAGATGTCCCCAGATGTTTCACTTCTCCAACCCATTGAATCTCAAGTTCCATTTTTTATTTTTAATTTTCATGTTACTAGACACTTTATTTTTTTAATGTTTATTTATTTATCTTGAGAGGGAGAGTGCACAAGCAGGGGAGGGGCAGAAAGAAAGAGGGAGAGAGAGAATTTCAAGTAGGCTCAATGCTGCCAAGGCAGAGCCCATCATGGGGCTTGAACTCATGAACTGGGAGATCATGACCTGAGCTGAAACCAAGAGTCTGACACTTAACTGATTGAGCTACCCAGGCACCCGTGGACATTTTATTTTTAATTTTCATGCTTTAGGCTGTAAGATGCAATCCTAATGTCCTGGCAAAGTGAGCTATGAGGGCTACCTTGGGTCTCCCCATGTCTCCTCTGGCCTCGGCCCTACTCCTCCTGCCACATCACACATCACTGCACACAACATCCAGTCACTGCCTTTCTCCACAAAGGCAGGAAAGCAGAATGGAGGGCTCTCAGGACAAATGCCCCTCATATTTTGGGGACAGTAATAAAGTCACATCTTTGTCCAGAGAGCTCTCCCAATTCTTCAGACACCTTTGACCCTCATTTTCACAGGCCTTCCTTTCTCTGCCCTCACTCTGAAGGCCCACCTCTACCCTGGTTTTCTTTCTGATTCAAGGAGGAAAGAAGTCAAATGTATTTAAGGCTCACCAGTGACTGAGGAATTACCTACATTTGACAAGAACACTCACATATGACTGCTTTCCTTTTCTCATCAGGGCATCTTTGGTGATCATTTCCTGACACAGTAGTGCTGGGAGCTGCCTGGGGAATTTATCTTTCTTGTCTTTGACCTTGTTTTATCACGAGACTGCTAGTGGTCAAATGATAAAGGTAAGCGAACTCCTGAAGCTTCATAAAACGTATTTATAAGGAAGTTCTTTCCTGCTTTATTGAAGATTAATTGACCATAAAGTTGTGGATTCATTTCTGGGTTTTCTGTTCCGTTCCATAGATCTATGTGGCTATTTTTGTGCCAGTACCATACTGTCTTGATCATTACAGCTTTATAATATAACTTGAAGTCATATAACTTGTAATATAACTTGAACTGTGATGCCTCAGCTTTGCTTTGCTTTTTCAAAGTTGCTTTGGCTATTCAGGGTCTTTTGTGGTTCCATACAAATTTGTACTAACTCTGTGAAAAATGCTGTTGGTATTTTGATAGGGATTGCATTAAATGTGTAGATTGCTTTAGGTAGTATAGACATTTTAACAATGTTCTTTCAATCCATAAACATGGAATGTCTTTCCATTTCTTTGTGTCATCTTCAGTTTCTTTGAATGATATTTTACAGTTTTCAGAGTACAGATCTTTCACCTCCTTGGTTGGGTTTATTCCTAGGTATCTCATGGTTTTTGGTGCAGTTGTAAATGGGATTGATTCCTTAATTTCCCCTTCTGCTGCTTCATTATAAGGAGGCATTTCTAGGCTGTGTATCATAGGCTGGCTGCTGGCTGACGCTGCTATAACCACCTTTCTTTCCAGCACATCCACCATCCCAACTAAAACCCTTCAGCATTTAGCATCATGTTTCTCTGCCAGAAGTGCAAGAGAAGATGCTATATGCCTCAGAGTGATATTTTCTAAAAATGTTTGTACCAATGAGTTCCCTGTGTGGAAAAGAATCCTTTAAAAGAGGATTTATTAGGTTTTAGTCTGCTTGCGAAAGTAATGGAAGCTCAACTTTAGAAAAGCCCCAGAAGCATAAGGAAAATAAAAATCATATGCTATTCCACCTCCCAGAGACAACTAATGTTAACATTTTAAGGTATTTCCTTTCAGCTTGAGAGACGAGAAAGAGAGTTACCACAACTGGGATCATGTTAAATTATATATGCATTTTTTTGTATCTTGCTTTTTTTATTTAGCACTACAGAATTCATTTAATATTCAACAAATAGGAAATTGCTAAAATTGCTGAAGGGGTTTCTGTTATCTGCACCTGAACTCTGAATGATCCAGCCTCCTTCTATACTTTATCCTCCAAGAGGACTAAACAAACTCTTTGCACTGCCTCACACACCATACTGTCTCATACTTTTCAAGCTCTGTTCACGGTGTTACTTCCACCTGGGAGTCATTTCCCTCCCTATTTGCCCAGGTTACTTTAGTGAGATGGGAAACTGCACACAATTAAGGAACTGTCAAAGTCCTGTCAAAGAACTAAGGCATGTAAATGTGTCCTTGGGTTTGTAAAGCCAAAAGTTCCTCTGCAACATTTCTCCTAAATCTTTCTCCTATGCCTGATTTACAAAATGTATCGCCTCAATCATCAATTCATTACACATCCACAAAATTCTGGCTGATTTCTAGCTAAGTACTATTCATTACTATCTCTTCTTTTTAAAAATTGTTTTTAAATTCCATATCTATCCATCTCAAATTCCTACCAGCAAACCAAAAATAAAAGTCTGATAAATACCCACTCCCCCCTACCCCAGGAATCCATTTGCTATGGTATTCATGGAAAGCTTCTATAGCACAAGAGAAATAGAAGTGATTAGAGGCTTTTCGGAAAATACAAAATAAATTCTTTCATTCAGTTCCCTGTGACCATGAGCCTGAAGATTTTATTCCTGTGAGGAGCTAGATGTCTCAAGATCATGACATGGTCTCTCTTGTATGTGGAATTAAAATTGATTTTTCACTAAGTAGTAGAACATTAGTGCTACAAGGAATTTTAGCAACCATCTCCCTCCCTCTGTGGATGAAGAGACAGAGACTGAGAAGAGAGAAATAGCATACCTATAAAGGTCTGACATATTTATGGCAGAGTTGTGTCCCATAATGCAAATTAAAATATCATTTTCACTATTTTTCAATGCCTTTCTTTTCCAACATTTCCAATACTGATTAACGGTCTGCAAGAGTCAGTTGTTAAATTGTTCATTTTGGAGCAACTGAGAAATGGAGAATTTTACACAATGCAAGTGAAAGTAAAGAACAGAATATTCAAAACAGGAAACCAGATTAATCTTTTCAAATAATCACTCATTCTATACCAGGCTGGGAGGGAGCAGAACCTTGGAGAATTAGTACATGATACAAGACAATTTAATTCAATTGTTTCTTATATTTCTGCTGAGCCCAAATAGTCAGACTTTGTGGTGACTGCTTACATTCAAAGCTATCCTTCGTATGCACTAAAACATGAGTCTATGACTTCTCTCATTTCAAGTGTATTTTGGGCTTTCCACAAGGGTTTCCAAATATGTATTATTTCTCAACTGAGTTAACATAGCCATCAGTATGTGAGGCCTCTTGCTTAACCAAGTATAAAGTAAATCTCTTTCAAGCAGACCTGTTTTATCACTATTCCCATTGCCTTATTTTGGAGCTCCCTAACTACCTAGATATCACGACAAGGTCTATAATAATTTGTGAACCTCCACAAATTAAGAAACTGGAAAATAACTAGGGAAAATATTGGCACTGTCCCAGATGCTCACGTGCAATCTCATACATATTGGTCCCTTAGAGGGTCAAGCCTGAATTGCCATCCCAGTGCTGTTGGGTAGGTCACCATCAGACTCCAACTCAGATAGCAGTTTTTACAGATCTAACTACTGTTGCTCAACTGGGTGTCCATGGAAACTAAAAAATTGGTTGGTTGCCTAGAGAAGTGGAAAGAAAACCAAGTCATTTGGTTTCTATGTGGTTTCTATGAAGCTAAGGAAATTTTTTGGCAAATGATAAAAATAAGGATGGCTAAAGCTACATGATTCCCTTGGTCAATTCTTGATCTTATCAAGAAATATTCCCTATGTTTATTACTCAAAAATATGAAAATATTCTAAATGAAGGCGTACCAGATTCTCAGGTTATTTCATTCTTGGCTGGATTAGAAACAATTCCTTAAAAGAGTGACCAATATATGCAACGAAATCTAATAGGTTAAAAAGTCCTTGGATTCATTACATATGGAAAATGTTTCTCATCCACAAATTCAACATAGTTCCAAGTATGAAAGAAAAAGCTAGTATTTAATAAGGGCGGAGGAGGCTGAAACACCTATTCATTAATCCTATGGAAATATTTGTCACTCATATGTGGTTTAGGGAATTGGGTAAAAATAGCAACTTCTTAAGAATTTTTTCATCTGGGCAGACTTTTATCTGAGCAAGAAAATATGACATAATAGTAGACAGGGGACTTGTACAATGAAATCCCTGATAAACAGGGATGCAGAGGTGACAACTTGGCACATGTTGGCATGATTTGACATCATCTGTTGGCTTGCCATCAGATCGAAAACAACTCCTGGCAGATACCCTGTCTCAATGAATACACAAAATCAGCCAGGCCAAGAAAGGTGGTATACATGTGTTATAACCAAGAGTTGGCCTGACCTTAGGTTTTCAGAACTTAGGATAATTAATGCTGCTTTTTAGCTTGTCTTAGAATACTTAGAAGAAATACCTATAAAAATTCAAATTCAGATAGGAAAAATAGAAATTGGTTTTATCCATGAGTCATAAGCTAAAATGTCTACAGGGCCAAGTAAGGAATGAAAATCAATATATGGAACTGACTAGAAGCAAAACAATAGCACTAGTGTGATAATAAACATCATTGACACACAGGCTCAGGGTCAGAGAATAGCAAGAAGTAATGATGACAACTGTAGCCAAGTATGGAACACATTTATTCTCAAAAGGGAGCAGTCACTGTTGCAGTGTAGATATTTGATGCCATGTCTTCACCTATTGCAAAAGAGGCTAAGTTTTGCTTGTCTGCATCTTGCTGGAGTCCCTACAATGATCTATTAATTTAAAAAAAGAATAGTAAAAGCATGGGGATACAACCAACTATAACAAATTCATAAATCATTAGAATTGCTGTGTAATTTTGTACAAATCACAAATTTGTATAAAAAATGTATTTTTGTATAAACTTAACACTGCTAAAAGTACATATGTACACGTGTGTATGTCTCACACACACACACACACACACACACACACACACACACACACACACAGGTACATGGCCTAGAGATAAAGGAAAGCTGACTTGCTTAAAATAACAAAAACTAAAACATGGGCTCTGAGTCCAATGTGGAGAAGGAAGATGTTCTCTGGCTCACTTTCTTCCTTTGGGCTCCTGGGCCATCTCCTATGTGTGTTTTCAGTTTAAGTCATCAAGAGGTTACAGTAAAGGAGCACCTGGGGTGATTGCTTACTTCTCCTCTGCCTATAGAAGAGTTATTCATTATAAGTCATCCCATGTCACTAATGTTAATTTCCAATCCAAGATCTGCTCAGTACCTTTGAAACAAAGTCCCATTTTTTTTTTTTTTTTGGTTCAGGTGTCAGTGAGCTTCCCGTATGTAGTCCACTGCACACACACCCTCAGTTTTCACCTTACCCTCCTCTTTACAATTCCCATAGCCTACTGCCACATTGCTCTCTTCTACCTTAGTATAATACTTTTACTCTGTTCTCCATCAAACACCTAAGATCCACTTAAAATCTTACCGTATGTAAGACCAATGCAAGGTGATGTCTCTCTCCTCTAAGTTTTACATGGAATCTCAGGCGCCTGGGTGGCTCAGTCAGTTAAGTGTCTGACTTTGGCTCAGGTCATGATCTTGCAGTTTGTGGGTTTGGGTCCCGCATTGGGCTCTGTGCTGACAGCTCGGAGCCTGGAACCTGCTTCAGATTCTGTGTCTCCCTCACTCTGCCTTCCCATGCTCATGCTCTGTCTCTCTCAATATAAATAAACATTAAAATAAATACATAAATAAATACATTTTACATGGAATCATAATAACAATGATGGTGGTCCCAGCTGGAATCTGTGCTAAATGCTCTACCTGCCTTAACTTATT